GAGCAATGGCCCCTGAATCAGACAATGTTAATGAAATAACATCATCCTCCAGCGGCTCACTCATGCACAGCCGACAATCATTAAAGGGAAACCCCCCTTCAAACTCATCGGCCAGATCCACCTGCAATCCCCACGAGCTCATTCCCTTCCGTGCCTCAGCAGCGGCGGGTCCTGGATCGCGAGAAGCAAATGGCTGCCCCTCTTTCCTCGAAAAAAAAGAGACAAACGAGAGCGGAGCTTTTTTCCTTGGAAAAAAACGCTTGCAGTGCACACCGATTGCCCCCTCGGAGACATCGCGTGCGTGCTCTTTGCTCAAACAAAACAACGCATAGATCGTGTGTGTCATCAGATGTTAAACAACGTCAACATGGATGCACACATCCTTAAATGCTTTGCTAGTGCTCGCCATAATGAGATAAATAGAGATCGCTCTTACCACAGAAATGCACGCTTCAAACAAAACAGTCAATGAAGACGAAGAAGAGAATGATGTGTAGCTCCCGGCGCCTATTTATACTATAGTCGCATCGGTAGTGACGTCATGGCTGTCGCTGGCCAACGAGTTTTTTTTTTTTTTTCAATGTATGCTTCAGACACGGGTCACGACGAGGCGTTCCCCATAGCGACCCCTAGAGGACGCAGTTCGAAGTTCCCATGAAAGGGAACTAGGCTACTGTTGGAAGAGGTGTTAGTGAGGCCAGCAGGGGGTGCTCACCCTGTGGTCTGTGTGGGCCCTAACGCCCCAGTGTAGTGATGGGGACACTATACTGTAAAAAAGCACTGTCCTTCGGATGAGACGTTAAACCGAGGTCCTGACTTCTCGTAAAGAGTAGGGGTGTAACCCCGGTGTCCTGGCCAAATTCCCATTAAAAGGTTTGCTATCCAACATATTAAACAGTGCATTGGAAAATAAAGCTGACACTTATAAATGACAGGAAGGACTGTAAATGGGTGAAGGAATGTCAACTGTCTAGTATTCATGAATACTTTCCAGTTCCTGGACAAGCAATGTTGAAATGCATGCGGCTTGGCAATCATTCTCTCTAATAGAACTAACAGGTGAAGTTTACAATCAGGTAAGACAAGGTAAAGCAAACAGTGGTCCAAATATTTGGTTTCTCTCAAGACTCCGATATAAAGATGCTATTCTGCAGTTACAGGTATTCAAACAGAGCTGAACAAGCATGTAGAGCTATACTGTACTTCAAATATGAACTACACTCAGAAACATAGATGAATAAACATTTTAAATGCAAATTCTGCTTTGAGTTTTGAGATATGCAGGTGGAAGAGTTCCAGTCTTTCTGGAGAATAAACAATGGGAAATATAGAAAATGTCCCACACATTGCCTTAGCTTGCTAGTTTTTTTAAATAACAAATAATTTGGGTTTAAAGAAATATGTCAAGCATACTTTGTGAAACCATCCACTCTTTGACCAGAACATGTAATCATTTAAAGGTTTTGCAAGCTATACGACAGCATGCAATATGTTTTCTTTTTCTCCAGCCTTGAGAGCAAGCAGATATGTAAGGGTGTTTGCAGATTAAATGAAAGCAGTAAAATAAAGTATTTGCAATTATATTCAGTGATACAGACAGGTTTGATGATGGTTTGTTGGCAACACTGTATTTTCAGGTGAAACAAAAACTGTTTTACTAGGCACACACTTCTTGGCACACTTTGCAGTCTTACACGACACGTTGAATTTCAGCAACACACTTTTCTAGAAGAGAAACTTTCACAAAACTTGATTTTAAAAACATATGGTTTCTAGCACAGACAAATAATGAGAAATATATCTAACACTAAAACTTTTCATCAAAAAACAAATAGAATGTTTCCCATTTCTGATTAGGATTAGATTATGGGGTATTAGAAAGGATTAGATGATGTGTATTAGTTTGATCTGTCCCATCATCACTTAATTACGCCGTGATAGAAACCTTGAGACTGTGCCACACTCTTCAGATTTCTTCCAGCAGTGCTGGCACACGTCCAGCTTGGACTGATGGTGAATCGCATCCTGTGGAAGCGACTAGAACGTGGTAATAGATTGAAAATAGCTGTCACCTCCTCTGATGTCTTGTGCAATTGGTTGTTTCACAATCCTTTTTGGGCTTGACAATCAAAGGTGTGTGCATTGCCATGGATAGGAAGCAAAAGAGTACTGCAATGAGATTGAGCAATCTTACAGCTTCGCGCGCACGTGTCTGTGTGTGTGTGTATGTAAGTGTGTGTGTGTGAGAGAGAGAGAGGGTAACATCACAGTGGAGTCAGCTGTCTTAACCGTGGCTTGTGTACTGCAAACACATACCAGCTTCATCACTGTGTCTGTCACGCTTCGGGCTCTGTCTTTACATTTATTTTGAAAGATGAAGCTCGCGATTATGGTAAGGGGCGTTACATTTGAGTGCTTGCGGTGTTCGGCCAATCACAATGCACTGGCTCAGCTGGCCAATCAGAGCAGACTGTGCTTGTCTGAAGGAGGGACTTTGTAGAAAACTTCGTTTGAGAGAGGCGGGGCATAGATGACCTACAATAATGTACAGTATTTGAAAAATAATGTGTTTTTTTAACATTAAAGCATT